TGGGGAGAGGGGAACCAAAGACCAAAGCAAGTGGTACTGTATCTGTGTGAGGTTCGTTCATGGGTCATGTCAGTATTGAGTTTCGATCCTGCCGCAGTTCCCACTGGCCCACCTTGGATCAATCAAGGCTCGGACGACGCAGCCCGCAGCGCAGAGATCCAGTTCAGCGAACAAAGTCATTGTGAGACAAAGCTCTGGATGCAGAAACAATCCCGAAGCACATGATGTTTATGTAGTTCCCGAAGTCATCGGAGAACTATGTTTATGTGAGACAAAGTCATTATGTTGGAGAACTGTTGTAATGTAGTTGGGATGTTCGCGCGAAGCATACCCCGAAGCACACTCCCGAAGCAGACCGCAAGGGTCCAACATCCCCGCCGGGGAACGTCAAAAAAAGAAAGATACACACCAAGTAGCTGTTTGGAAGGACTTCTTGAGCTTAGACAGCTTAGGCAGAGAGGCAGGTCCCGAATGGCTGGCTCCAAAGGGTCTGACACCGACTGAAACCAAGCAGGTCCCAAGTTCGGCCACCCCAAGTGGTTTAGGCGACAGAGAGGCTCCCCACACCTCCGTCGCTTTCTTTCGTAAGACCCGACCCACCGGTGGTCGCTTTAAGGCGAGCTACGAGGCGAAGGTCCAGGAGCCGGAGCGAGACCGCGCGCGCCACGCCGTGCCACGCACCTGAGACCTTTGAGTCGGTTTGCATTTGGTTGACAAATGTGGATCAGTGCGTTCAGCGCACCTGCAGTTTTTGTGGTCTGTCTGTGGAGCATTTGTCGACCGCCCTTGGGGCAGTGGGTGTTCGACATAATGTGCGTGTTTTTGGTCAAAGCGCCAAGAACTCTGATTCACCCGAAACTGAACCGCCTATGAGCGTGGTTCCATTTATCTCACGTCCATTCGCGAAAGCCCCGTCACGCCCCGTCACAGGATCACCTCCGCCCAGCGAAAATCATCATCCGCTATGAATGATTTCAGCACCTCCGTCCATCAGGTCATCCTTCTTGACCTATAAGAGGTATGGAAAACAGATGAAAACAGGTACTTCTCAACCATCAGTGTTTGGGGTGGGTTTGGAGGGTCCAAATACCTTCTGAGGAAGTACTTGGAGCCCTAGGGCATAATGCAACCATAAAATGTGCATATCTTATCTTCCATGTCGTCCATTTGCTTTCTGAAGACTCCGGAGGCCCTGGCGTCGGTGCTGCTGAATGCCTTCGCGAGCGCGCCGGGTGCCACGGGCGCCGGGCTGCAGGCGTTGAGCGCCGCGGCGCCCTGGGCACTGGCAGCTTGGCGCTGCGCTACGTTTGTTGCAGAAGCATGGGTCAGGCAGTTATGGTGGGATGTTGTAAAGATGATGAGATGAAGGAAGATCATAAATCCAAAAGAAAAGATGAAGACAAAGGTCACTTCTACACCTTCCGCCAGTGTGTCTGGAACGTTGCAGCTGAGGTCGAACATCTCGGCACCCTCTCGGTTTACTTAGCTCTTGGCAGCCCCCCAACGGCGGACGAGGACATGCAATGCAGGGCACAACATGGCTGGTGAGTGATGTGGAAAGAGCTGAATGGATCAGTAGTGAGGCAAGGTGGAATGAACGGTAATGAGTTGTCAGCTTCTTTCGGTCAGTTGTTTGTTGAGGGAAGACAGTGAGAAAATGTGAGAAATCCATTCACTAAGTTGGTTGGTCTTCTTTCGCTTCGAGGTCTTTCGGCGTGTCGATCTGGCTGATTGGCATGGTCCTTCCATGCGAGCCCCCTAGAAGTGCATAAGGCTATAATAGTACGGCGTAGGTTTGCGGCATAGTCTATCCGCAATTGAAGGAGCATTGCCCTACTCTTCCCAAATAGAGCAGAAACCAACCAGACTTTTGAGAACTTTGGTCAAGAGGCATGTCTCGGCCGGCGGGGCACAGTGTCCGCAGATAGCGGTGCATTGGAGATCCTGGTCCACCGGAAAACCGCGACCGGACCCGGTGGCGCTTCGATTAGGTCCGGTCAAGTGGCCAGACTCGCGGTCGAACTCCGCCCGGTTCCCCCGATAAAGGCCCGACAGGTCAGTGCTTCCGACCCTTCGACGGAACCCGACAGGAGCTCCGAGCTTGGTCGGCGTGCACCGCCATGGGGAACACCTTGGCTTCACTGAGTTCCTTGGCTTCCTGAAGACGGTTTTCATGTTTTCACTGGTGGTTTTTCGAAAAAGGGCATCACAAATGACTGGTGCGAATCATGAGGAATTAAGGGAATGGATCCTCGGGTACCCATGGGGACTTCATTCCATCTCATTCCCTACCGAGTGGCACCAGTCTGTCGGCAACGTTGACCTCCCAAAGGTATCCCAATTTGTTTGACGATCCACGAAGCATTTTGGGCCGAAGGAGTTTGGAGACCGGTGATTCATTTTGTTGCAAACGAAAAGGAGTGTGATTCACTTTGATGGATTCCGCTGGATTCCATCAAAGATCATAGGATACACAATACAAGATGATACAAATTTGTGGTTTGGTGATGAACATGGTGTGGATTTTAGAATTGTATATAGATGTTGTTTCACTTACCCTTGTGGCTTTAGAGCACCAATGCGTGGCGCACTCAACTCAGGCACAGCATGGTTGTTTATTCCACAACACCCGCTTGTTCGTAGGATGCGTCCCAGATGACCACTATGCTTGGGAGAAAGGCCCACCTAACCATCATCCACCGTGACTGGTCATGGGATATATCCAAAACGTCCAAACCATGCCCAAAACGTCTGCTGTTGTGATGCGTGGCAGACACGATGACTGACTTGGACCCCATCGAACCGATGGTTGGCGGTGGTTGGCGAATGGGAAGGCACCCAAACCCCCGGCAGGTGGCCAACGGGATCTCTTTTCTGAGCGATTTGGGACGTCGAATGGGATGAAGATGGACGGAATCGCTCTGCGATGTGAACGAAGTAGATCTGAAAACACGGTCTGGAAAAAGCGAGTCAGAGGATGGCAAGGAGTCTCTGATCCCATGTTTGTTTGAAAAGAAACAAGGGCATCGCTACTCGTAACCAGAGCATTACTAGTAGCAAGAAGCTACTAGAAACAAGTGCATCGCTTCTAGTAACAAGTGCCTTACTACTAGTAGCAAGAAGCTAGTAGGAACAAGTGCATCGCTTCTAGTAACAAGTGCCTTACTAGTAGTAACAAGAAGCTAGTAGTAACAATTGCTACAAGATGCCCTTCGTTCCGTTCGTCGCGTCGTTCCGGTTCCGAATGTCACGGACGGATGTTTCGGTATTCTTCAGATCGGTTTGAGCAAAAAAAGACAGGTTGTCCATGCAGATCGGTTTGAAACAACATGGAAAAGAAGACAAGCATGGCCCCAAACATGTCCCAAATGAGCCCAAAATGCGTGCTTCTTTCGTGCTTTTTAGATCTCATCCCTTTGAGCGTGGAAAAGACATCTACCTCTTTGAGCCCGGACCTTTCGAGGTCCCACTTCGAGGTCTCTCTTGTCTCCCTGGGCGTGGGTCTCTTGGTGAAGAGGTGTGGAGAGGGCCGCTCCAAGAACTACATCGATTCCTTTAAAGTCACCAAGTATAGACAGTATAGAGGTATTTGGACAGGTAGGGAGTAGGTCTTGTATATGTTCTTGTTACACTTCCCTTAGGTAGAGAATAGCCCTCTTTTGTGGAGAGGGAGAATAGAGCCACTCAACAACATGAGCACTTGTGAAGGTGTCAATGTTTCGTTCCATCCAGGATAGCTCCATATTTGAGAGGACAATTCCTTGTTTAAAAGTGGGGCGCGACAATACAGAAGTTGGGTGTTTGTATCGAGTTTGTGGCTCAAGTCCAGGGTCAAAAAACGTTTTTTGGGGAGTGCACAACAACAGGCGCGGATAAACAAGCAGGGCTGGATCTTAGACTTGAGGCGGTCTGAAGAAGACATCTGCGTGGTACTTTCAGTGACTGCTTGGAAAATCTGACATGAAATGCTTTTGCTGAAGGATGCGGACATATGCCCAGACCTTTTTGATGATTTCTTGCATCGAATTCAGTGGGAATAGAACTTGGACAATTCGAGATGCACGATCAGTCCACATCCCTGCCCGCCGTAAAAAGGAGGACCATTTATCTTTTTTTGGCTCTTTTTTAGGAATTGTGTTTGTTTCTGGTGGCTTTTGGCTTTCGTGGCTCTTGTGGCTTCCGTGGCTTTTGTGGCTTTTGGCTTTGGTGGCTTTCGTGGCTTCCGTGGCTTCTGCGGCTTTTGTGGCGCGTGGCTTTCGTTGCTTTCGTGGCTTCTGGCTGTTTGCTACTAGTCCATCTTTCTTTGGAGGAATGTGAAGTCCGAGGCACAGCGACCAGATGTAAGACGATCTTGTTTTCATCCAGACAATTCCTTTGGTGGCTTTTCGCTTTTGGTGCCTTTTGATGACTTTGGCTTTCGGTGGCTTTTTTGCCCTTTCGTGGCTTCGGCTGGCTTCTGTTGGCTTTTCGTGTCTTCACTCACTGATATGTTGTAAATATGCCTGGCTGTTTGCCAGCTGCGACAGCTCCCAAATCTGTCTACCTATCCATCTATCTGTCTATATCTATCTGTCTCTATCTATCTATCTGTCTGTCTGTCTGTCTGCTTGTCTGTCTATCGATCTATCTATCTATCTCTTTCTTTCTTTTGTCTGTCTTTCTTTCTGTCTTTCTGTCTGTCTGTCTGTCTCTCTCTCTCTTTCTTTCTTTCTTTCGTTCTTTCTTTCATTATGTCTTTCTTTTTTTCTTTCTTTCTTTTCTATCTATCTATCGATCCATTTATCTGTCTATCTGCCTATCTATCTAGCTATCTAGCACCTGCCACGAAATCTGCACTTCAAGGTCCACAAAGTACTGTGCCTGCCACGAAATCTGCACTCCAAGGCGCACAAAGTCCTGCACCTGCCACGAAAACTGCACTTCAACATCCACAAAGTCCTGCACCTGCCACGAAATCTGCACTTCAAGGTCCACAAAGTACTGCGCCTGCGACGAAAAACGAAAAACAAAAAGCAAACAAAAACAAGAAAAATGCTTAAGTTATATCCGAGCCCCTGTAAAAGCCTGAGGTTCTTTTTGCAATTCTGGGTGCAGCCTCCAGTGGTCAATGCTGTCTTCACTCGCTTGGGACCCCTCACATTTTTGGCAATAAAACAGTAGAATTTTGTAACTGCTCGAACGGCATCATTATACTTACTCAGTTGTGATTGCCTATGCTTCAAGACTTCAGGGTAGTCGAGAAGGAATACATTCGGATCTCAGGAGAGTCAGAGAGCCAACCTTTGTGGCTACAGCCAGCGGCTGGGTTTCAACATTCTTTTTGGAGTCATCCCTCTCGGAAGCCCCTAGCCCAGCAAGACTTATACAACAAGTTCACCCTGCAGTCATTTCAGTCATTTCAGTCGTTTGCTGTAACTTTGTACTCCTGAAAAAGACACTACTTATTTCAGCAGCGGTTCCGTGATGTTCCTCCCAGGAGCATGAGGCCGACGAGACAAAAGACGATATCATTGAGGCTGAGAGGACCCGTCCTTCAGAAGGGCCGCGTTGGTGAGCGGGTCGCAGGGCAAGGGAAAGGATCACGGGCGGGCGCCAAGAAACAGAAAGAGGAAAGTGTCACTTCACGGTTAAAGCAATTATATTTGAGTTTAATACTAAATAAATGCCGCTGCACCTATGACTTGTTTGTGCAGGCCAACCCACAACAGCGCCGAGCGGACAGCAGACCCGCGCCAATGCCGGCGTCGGAGTGGCTGTCAATGCTGGACGAGGCCGAAGGGGGTTCACTTGTCCACCAAAGATGTGGTAATTTTGATTTTGCAACCAAAGAAGGCATAAATTCAATGTTTTGGATTGAGCACCAGTTGACTGGTTCAATCTCCGGCCGTGCCAGGCATATGCGTCGCGTCCATCAACCAGCTTGTGGACGAGTCAGAGCCCCACAGAATCTCTGACATTTCACTCAATGGCCTTTGTCACTTCCAATCAACAAGCCAGAAAGATCTCTGAGGCTCGGGTTCGAGCGAGCTGCCGCCGGGATGCTCGAAGCC